ACCGCACCGAGGTGACTAGACGGATGACGTCTACTATACAAAGTGTAGCGTCTGCGCGAGCTCGTCCGCTGCGCGGCGGCGCTACCTGCTTATCTTTTACTGACACCCGAGCACTCAGGGCGCCATTATTACCAGCTATCATTATTCTTGACACATACCCGCCCAACATTCTCCTCCAGAGTTGGAAAGGTTATTGAATGCATTTAAGTTTCAAGTGACTTACAGGAGTCCCCTTAATTCACTCTGGTACCAACTTACCGTTCCCGAAGAAGGGGGCTTGGTTGTCCCAGGGGCGCTGTCGACCCATTGATCTCATCTTGCCATAACGGCACCTCATACCTACGCCACTCGCCCCATTCCCATTCTAAACTACAGTTACATAAATGTTGCTGTCAGTGGCGACGTTCCCAATCATTTTGGGGGAGGGGAGCGGAAGAGGCGACATGTTCCTTCCGAAGATTTTAAGGCCTAGTCACAAACTACGCTCGCACTCTTTATCGCACCCTCTATTGCAGAAAAACATTTACTACTCGGGCAGAATCAGCAAAGAAACGCTAATCAGTTTCGTTCACGCTCAATGCAAAGCGCTATCACACGAGCCATCAACATGCAAGGTTTTCATGTGCGCGACGTGAAGTCGTCTGCATCATGTGCAGTTGCATGATTTGCGGAAAAGTCGACTTTTGAATTGAAAATAATCCACAGTTGTATGTTAAGGTGATGGAGAAAGAGTTTGCTTACTGCTACACGAAACTCAGCGACCTGCCAAACTTTGGTAGAGTGTATGTTTACGGTGTCGTGCGATCTGTAACGGATTCTAATTTTGGTGGTCAGATTATAAAAATCGAGGTAAGCATTTAATTGCTGCAAGAGTTTTCCGAGCAGATTTTTTGTATGGAGTTCTCTTACGTTACTTACTTTTTTTTTACAAGGATGAGGACGGCAGTGCTATCGTTAAAGTGGTAAAAAAGTCTTCAAAGTACTTCTATGATCTCCAAGTTGGCAACATCCTCCGATTACATCGGACAGAAGTAAGTGTCATTTTGCTGCTTGTTTTATTTATAGCTTCATTTTAAGTAATGCGGCGCAATCACTCCTTCCCCCAAATCCAGATAGAAACGAAGCATTGCAGACATTTGAACGTTGAGAAACTAGTTGAAGCTCCTTTAGTAGGATAGCAACTCTAGCTTTCTCGATGTCAGAAAGCGTCTGCCTTGAGCTGCCAGTCTTCGCCTCTGTCTGAACCTGGGAATCGATGGTACTTGTCGAACTTACATTATCACAGGTCGGATCTCATCAAGACAACCAAGTCCTCTTGGTCGACATTCACAAGTGCGGATGTCACGCTGTAGCATGGCAATACCAGTCTGATGTACCCCATATTGCTACCTCGAGACATTACACTTTGACCGAAAGTGATCTCTCTCGAGTAGGAAAACTTTTGTCCAGTCACCTGTTTTGTCAAAAATCTTTGTTCAAACGTTTTCTTTCTAGCTGGCAACTCTTCGTAAGCTCATCGCACAAAACGAACCTCAAGCAGAGGATGGGTCGCCTGCGCAGTCAATACGCGTAGAAGAGTCATGCGAAGAAAGTTCTTCCAAAAGGGTGACTGACGAGCCTGTTGTTGTTGAACGAACGCCAAGCAAGTAAGTTAGACTCATCTTTTTCAAGTTTTCGCAGCTATCATAGCATTGAAGGCGCAAAAGGTCGCGCACCGATGAAAACATCACAAATGCTCGCGACATCCCCAGGCTTGGCAAACAGTTTTTCAACTGGTATGCACTGGTTAGTTGTCCGCGGTATGCAACTCTGCAAAGAATATGTCAAAATTTACAGGTCCTTGGTGTTTATACGGGAAAAGGCGAACCATTCACAGTATTCTTGCGAGTTTGGGATGGAACGAAGCCGAGGTAGGCCTATATGAACCAACAAACACAACTGCGCTACTCTGCACATGTTTAGATTCCCAGCATATCGAAAAATGTTTCACGCGGATAAGGACTCTATTGATACCGTTCATTGTGATATCTCTCCGAGCCTCTTCGCTGTGATCGAACCTTTCACTGTTGACGTATGCTGTTACGGTGAATGGGCGAGGAAAGCCTTGTCTCTCCGGGTATGTCACATCGCTGAGTGCCTAGCAGCGAAGCGAAAAACTGATTTTTTAGTCTTCTCCTAGCTTTTGGGTTTTTT